GGCTGGGTGCCTCGTGACGTCAGCCCCGGCGGCGGCGGCGGCGGCGGCAGGGGCGCCTCCCGGGGGAAGTGGGTGCGGCCAAGCTCGCGCGGGGGCGGGGCGCTGGGCGGCGTCCCGGGGAGCGCGCGCGCCCCCCTCGAAGGCCTCGCCCGGGACCCGGCGGAATCAAAGGGGCATCTTCGCTTCCGCGGGTCGGGGCCGCCGCTCGCCCCTCCGCCGGCCTTGGAGGGCGTTACGGGGCGCCCCTTCCGCGGGCAGCGGATGGCAGCCCAGCGCCTTTGCGGGCACCGCCTGGACGGCCTGCGCGGAGGTCTTTCTTTTAGTCCTCTGGGAATAATGTGATGCTAGACATGCTGGACTGAGAAAGGAAAAAAAAAAAAAAAGCAAAACACAAAAGCAAAAAAAAAAAAAAAAACCCATTTGGGTCAATGACGGAGCGTCAGGCCGCAGCGACGGGGGAGGGGAGCGACTTAAGCAAAGTCCGCTGCCTCAAAAATGCACGTTGGTCTGTGGGAGGTGCAGGTGAGAAGCCAGAAGCCAGGCGGAGAAGGGACCCCTTGCGCGTGTCACCTAAGGTTTGGCAAGCCTTGACTACGGTTACTTCTGAGTCACTCTGGTGTCCGTGTCTCAACAGCCATCAGAACCTGGGTAAGGCGGCTGTGAGGGGGTGACAGGCAACCCTGAGACCGCCCACACCCACACCGGGCCTGGCCCTGGTATTGCAGGGTTGAGTTGGGGGGCGGGGGGGAGGAGGGAGGCAAGCAATGTCATTGTTATGCTCGCTTTTCGCCGGTTGCATTTTTTTTTTTTTTTAATGTTCCATTCTTCAATGCTCCTGTTCTCACTTTTCTCTAGAGTAAAAATTCCCCTTCCCTCTCCCGGGGCATTCTACCGGCAGGGAATTAGGGCTGCTTCTATCTTCTTGGGGTTCTTACTGGCCACCAGCCCGCTTTCACAAGATGCATGGGGCTCATTAAGCCTGTTGGTTCAAGGGAGCCTCTGGGGAATGCTCCATAATGCTCACCTGGGCTGTCATTATGTTTCTATCTCCATGGATACGTATGTGAAAATTCATTGATCTGTACATTACGGGTGTGTGTGCTTGGCCGTTTAGATGACATACCTCAGGAGGGTATATTCTTAGAGTTCGCGCAAGGGTTTCTTGAACCCCTACTATGTGCCCAAACGCTTTGCTAAGCTCGGTGGCCACGGGAAGCTCACGGGCCAAGGAGGGGCTAATTACAATGTGATAACCGCTGTGGTGGGAAATAATTGCTGGGTGCTGAGAGTCTTCATTTAAATCAAGCTACCCCAAATTAGGGGAAGAGCGGCAGAGTCAGGTTTTAGGAGCTCTTTGTAATAATGGCATCTGCCCTGAGTTGTGAGGAGGAGGGAAACAAGGTGGTGGGCGGGGGGAATAATTTCTGTTGGGAGATCAGCATGAGAAGGTGTGCTGTTACAGATGGGGATGCACACTTCCTTGTGTGCACCTGCAGGGTGCACTGAGGCCTTGATGATCCGCCGGGGGTAGAAAGGTTGGGGTTTTCCAGAAGGCGGTGCAGGATCTCTGGCGCGTCTGACTCGCATTTGAAGAGAAGCTGACAACCGGATAGAAAGTGGCCAGGGAGGCAATGAAAAAGCACCGTGGAAACAATTCGGGTGTTTTTTCCGCGGAAGAAGGACTGCCTTTTCCCACGTGTTGGTTCGCTCACTTGGCCCTCTGCTGCAGAAGCTTCTGAAAGAGAAATGATGCTTTATTGTGTAATCTGGCCTTTGTTTAGGACGGGGCACAGCCCCCTGGGGTACGATATTCTAGTTTTCACTAGACTCTGCAGCTGGAGGGGAACGTGCAGGGCAGAGCAGAAGAGGAGCCAGGTCATCCCCATTGTCCAGACCAGTGGGGAGGTGCTCCCAGAAACACGAATGTGACTCTTCACATGTCTTCTTCTCCCCCTGAATTCTAACTATTGCTGCGAGGATCTGTGGAAGTAGTAAAAAATGTGGACACGGCACGTCAAAGCTAAACTTCGGTTTCTCTATGCGGTTTGCAACACTTACTATATTTAAGACATATCGGGATGCTTGCGCGTCTCAGTCAGTGATTGTCTGATCTCGGCTCAGGTCACGATCCCTGGGTTCATGAGTTCCAGCTCCGTGTCGGGCTCCTTGCGGACAGTGCTACGCCTGCTTCGGATTCTCCCTCTGTCCCTCTCTCTCTCTCTCTCTCTGCCCCTCCCCTGCTCACGTTCTCTCTGTCCCTCTCAAAATTAAAAAAATAAAATAAGAGAGAGTATCTCTTATATCTTATTATGCCTACCACAGGCTATATGAAATCTTTTTCTCTCTCTCTCTTAAGATTGCTACACAAAATTGCTGCACAAAACTGCGAAAAAACCTGGCCTGATTGCCCTAATCTGCCTTTTTCACCTCTGACCTCTAATAATTGCTGACAATGTCACAGGAGGAGACACAGACACGTAAATAGGTGCTACTCGGGGGGTTTTTCTTTGTCTAATTGTCTTTGTGATGTTTCAGCAATTTATTCATTACTAAGATTGCATAAAAATAATACTTATGATTACACCAAGCCTTGTCCCCTAGTTTCAAGAACCTGTCATGTTTAAAACTCATTTGGGTAACCTCACTGTTCAGGATTCTCTTATGAATTTTGCATCTCTGTATATTGGGAACAGAATGATGACCACCAATGAACAAGACAATTTGAACATATGTATCCGAGGAAAATGAGTAAATTGGGAATGTATGGAGGGATGGTGGGGCGGGGCGTAGAAAGAGAGAAAATAGTTGAGGCCACCGAATCTAAGAGATTAGAAAATCACTTTTAGAAAATAACACAACCCCAGCAAAGAAAGCCAAAATACACATAGGAACTCTTAAAAGAGTCTGCTCACTTTTGTCTTCCAAAAGTAGCTGGAAAGCTTGTAATAGGAGAGAAAAATAAGGAATAATTAATTCTCACTTCAGGATCGACGTAGCATCAAGCTAAGCCTAAGAATGAGCTAGCAGTGCCCCAGTATTGCTTTTTTTTTTTTTCCTTAAAATGTTTTCTGGTAGAATCCTACAGTGAGCCCGTGACCAGTCACATACAAGGAGCCGTGCATACATGTTGTATTGTTTATTCGTCCAGCAAAGAGATGCTTTTGTGTTGATAATATTATTGAAGCAATTTTGCCTTCCTATTCTCACCATATCTAGTCCTTATTCCTAGTTTTCCCTAATTTCCTTGTCACTGAGCCAGGAGAAGTAAGCCCAGATAAATAGGAACCATATTCCAAAATGCAAACACGTAGGAAATGGAAAGGAAAAGTGTACCCGGTTTCCAAGGCACAGCTGATAGAAGGAATTGGTTATTTCTGCTTTGGGGTTGACTGTTGTGCTTATAAGAATTGGAATATCCAAACTAGAATAGTCTACACTTGACAAGTGTCTGTCAGGGACGTGCTTACCGGAGATGAACAACCTTACATCAAGATGGTGGCCGTCTGTATACCAGCTGGGGCACCCAGTTTAGGTATCGCTCCCTGGTGCTACACAAAAGAGGTTTTCAAGACTTCGGAATGGTTAAAGAGAACTGAGGTCACACTACCGTAAGAGTGTATCCCGAAAAGGTACAATCTGTCTATGGCAGGTGCACGTGCACGGGCAACAAGAATCACTCCAAGACATTAGCTTCCAAGCCCTTCCCACTGGGCTAGCAGTCACACCCAAATCAGCAGACGAGCCACTGCCCTGGCCCTATGCCGGAGACACCATCGAGGGCCGTGACTGTCGGTTGACCCACAGACTGGACCTGGGCAACTGCAGGCTCCCCACCCCCTCCCCTGTCCTTGATGTATGTTTTATACATCGTCCCCACAGCGCAAGCCATTTCGAGGGTACAGTCTTGAGGGAGTCAGGTGTTGTTGCTTATCTGGACAGTATATGTGACTGAACCCAGTTAAGGCCTGTTTACAGACTTAAGATTCTGGCCAGTGGGTGTGGAGATCTTGCCCAAGACAAGCCCGGTCTGTAAGGTCCCTGCCTGTTTAACCCGCCACCCAGCCCTCTGCAGTGGTCTGCCTCCTCCTCCAGTCTCTCCCTGCCCTCCGTGGGTGTGTACAGAGGTGGGGTGTTCAGATTTCACCTGGGGAGCCCCCAAGGTTGTGAACCACCACCCTGGTCTACAACCTCTTGTGGGGTTTTTTTCCTCTTATGGTCCTGATCTATCTCACTGCAATTCTACATCATTCATCCGGTCTTTCTTCTTTTAGTGATCACGAAACGTTCATTAAAGGCTGGTTGTGGGCTTCTAGTGAGAGAAATGAGGCTGCTTATGTCCATCCCGGCGCTTAGGTCACGGGCAAGGGAACCTGCAGAAGGTAGCCAGGTGATACACAAATCCAGGAGGCAGAAGGGAGGCCATCCTGGCCCCAGGAGGAAACCCTGAGCAGTCCTGAGCTAGAGGACCAAGGGGGATGGGCCGGTGGTTGCTCAAAAGGGCCTCCTCCCTTGTAGTGATAAGGAGTTTGAGCTTTGGGGTCATCGGGGGGCTTTCAGCAGGACAGTTGAAGGGCTTGGTTTGTGTTTTAGAAAGGTGTCTCTGGGGCGCCTGGGTGGCGCAGTCGGTTAAGCGTCCGACTTCAGCCAGGTCACGATCTCGCGGTCCGTGAGTTCGAGCCCCGCGTCAGGCTCTGGGCTGATGGCTCGGAGCCTGGAGCCTGTTTCCGATTCTGTGTCTCCCTCTCTCTCTGCCCCTCCCCCGTTCATGCTCTGTCTCTCTCTGTCCCAAAAATAAAAAAAAAAACGTTGGAAAGGTGTCTCTGGACAGTGGATGAAACAGAGCCTGGCAAAACCGCTGGAAGAAACTTCTTCCTTGTCACTAAGGTGGGAACACGTTCGGCCATGTCAGGAGGGTGCTGGATACTGAGGTCTGTAGCTCCGAGGGCAGCAGGCTCCTGGGCAAGGGGTGGACCCAGGCAGAGGGGGTGGAAACTCATCTCCATGCGTTCAGAGGCACCGGCCACAGCGGATGGACTGCGTATGGGATAGAAAATATATTGAGGCTTTTGGGTACGCAGATCAGATGGAGGAGAGTTTTGAGTACTATTCCACAAGCTAAGTCCCTAGTCCCGCGAGCAATGGAGAGTTCCCGAAGTTTGTGGATGGATCTCTTTCTGTTGTTGTTTGTTTTTACCAAGAACATCGTAGACTCAACACACCAGTCCCCTGGGGTCCCAGACACTCCAGCTTGACCTCCATTATCAAAGCAAAACTGCGGTGTGTTCGTCTTCAAACCCAGGTCTGTAAATCAGGCCTCCAGCCTCCAGGGGTAGTCTCTAAGCCAGAATTAGATCCCTGGAAAGTAATGAAAATAGCTGTGAGAGTCACAGCCCACGGACATCCCTTCAAAATGTAACAGCTTGTTACCTGTTACTAATTTTAGCTCACTAGAAATTAGGCACAGGGGCGCCTGGGTGGCTCAGTCGGTTAAGCGGCCGACTTCAGCTCAGGTCACGATCTCACGGTCCGTGAGTTCGAGCCCCGCGTCGGGCTCTGTGCTGACAGCTCAGAGCCTGGAGCCCGTTTCAGATTCTGTGTCTCCCTCTCTCTGACCCTCCCCCGTTCATGCTCTGTCTCTCTCTGTCTCA